ACATGTGTACTCTAAATGGCAAGACATTAAGTTAAAACAAGAATGAAAATTTATCTAGCTTTAAACTCCCAGAACAGCAATATCTCGCCCTGGAAATACTGTCTTAAAATAAACTAGAGTTTAATATGACATTCTTTATAACAGCAAATAGTTAAACTGTAATGAAAAGCAGTGATAGCCTGAAGTATCTGTAATTGAGAGGGTCATGAAAAACGTTAACAAAAAAACATAATTGCCTAAAGGACCCTTACCATAATATATAATGTTTGTAATTTCCAAGCTGCCCTCTCATTAAGTATAATAAAACTTGATACATTTATGATTTTAAGAAACATTATATATTAACAAAATTTTATATCTATTGTTTCACTTGACTGGGACATTGCCATTTTCTTTCTTTGAAACTAAATATATTTTCCACAACATAGTTCTTCTTATGCATTGCCTCCTGATAAATTTAATTCCATGTTAAGAGAAGAAAGAGAGAAAGGGACATAAAGCAGAAGGATGAACACATTTTCTTTCATGTTTGAAATAACATAACAAATATCAAGAAAATCAAATATGGGTAGCACCGTTCACAATTTTCAAATACAATTGCTCTAACGTTTTTAAAACAATAGTGTCCAATATTTAAAAAAGAGAAAAAAAAGTTGTGAGACTAAAATTTACAATGCAGACAAGCCAAATTTGGACAATTCTGGACAGAAGAAGAAAGCATAGTTTGTATACTTTGAGTATTGTTACTATTTTGCTTTTATAGATGAGAAAAGTGAGGCACAAAGAGTTTAAGTAAATTACTAAAGCTCCATGGCTAGTAAGTGGTAGAGAATGTAAATTCAGGCAGTCTGGCTCCAGAGCCTGCACCCTTAAACGTTATGCGATACTAATTAAAACACAAGACTAATATAAGGAAAACTGGAACATAAGGTGATCCATCATTTGCCCAATGAGATTACAGAAAATATTTCTATCAAGGTGAATATACACATACGGAGACGTAGAGGCAATTATCAAATGTCTAATTGCAATTTTAATTTACAAATATATGTATAGTACATGCAAGCGTCTTTTAAAAGTTCATAGAAAGATTCACATTACCTTTTAATTCTATTTTTCACATGTTTTTAAAGTACCATTATATAATCATATGCTAGATAAAGTAGTATATTAATTAGAATTATTGCTTTTTCCATATTCACATTCCACAACACACTAACAATACAGCCTAGTGACTTAGCACAAGCACTCAGGAATCAAACCGTCTGGGTTCAAATCTGTGGTCTATTATTTCCTTGTGTAATATGTAAGCAAAATTACTTACTCACTCTGTTGTCAGTTTCCTCATGTGTCAAATAGGAGTTATACCTCATTGGGTTGTTAGGAGTAACTGAGTTAAAAGGGGCTGAGTGCTTATAGAAGTGCCTGGCACACAGTAAGTATACACAGATGCTAGCTGTTCAATTTTTCAAATGCTTCATTTGCACCTTTGGCAAGAGTGGTTTTGACATCACTAGCGCCCAGTTCAAGTTCTCTGATGGTGTTTTTTACATTATCTCCCCTCCTGTCTAAGTTATTTGAGATATACAACTTCCAGCACTGTTACTGAAATGCTTATTCCAAACTACAATATCCATTCATCTTAACATTAGAAATGTTCTTAATTTGTTATGTAAGAGAGTATTTATGATTTCTACAATGAAAATACTTAGAGTATTGTTTTAAAAGTTATTTTTAAAACTTTTTTTTAACAACATACAGCGCTTGTAATATTAAAGTCAAAGTCCCAAGAAAAATTAAATCAGGATTAAATTTCTTGCCTTTTAAATACCAGTTCTGTCCAAATGCATCCAATGTTGTTACAGGCAAATCTGTCTTCCCAAAATGACACTTTATCGTTCAAAGTAAAATTTAATTGAAATAACAGAAGTAGAATTTGAATAACATCTTTAGCATAGGAAATATAATGAGCAAATTCTTTTTTAAGGGATAAAGGATAATTTGGGAGAAATATAGTTGTCATATTTGGGATATGGGGTTACATAATTAATTTGCCGGGATAGCAAAACAGACATTGGGCACTTATATTGGTTTTTACTGAAATGATCAAGTTTCATTCATTGTGGAACTTGATATGTGCGCAGCTGCCAAATCGCTACCTCATTTGGTGCTTGGGGATATAACTGAAGAAGGGGAAAAATGCCCATGTTCAAACCAGAATTTTCTAGCACAATTCCCCATGACACAGTTACTATAAAACGGGAAAAAAAGGAAGCTCTCAAATATCTAAGTACGATTTCACTGCTATCTCAAGAAAAATGGAGATATATTGTGTTTGTGAAGTATGTAAAAGTGTTAGTTTGTATACTAGCATAATTGTCAAACTAATTAAAAGATATTATTCATGATCAGAACGTCCCTTCTTTTTTTAATTTCACTGCTATCTCAAGAAAAATGGAGATATATTGTGTTTGTGAAGTATGTAAAAGTGTTAGTTTGTATAGTAGCATAATTGTCAAACTAATTAAAAGATATTATTCATGATCAGAACGTCCCTTCTTTTTTTGTTACACGTTTGGTGATTGTTGCAAGTTTGGTGACTCCCATTAGGTCTCAGGGAAGGACTGGGCGGCTGCTACAGGCTCACTTCATGTTCCATTATCTCTTAACCTGGTTGAGGCTTTCTTCTAATAAAGCCAGCTTGATGACTTTAACAGGAGTCAGCACATTTACCAAGTACTCCAGTTTCTTATAACTTTGTGGATCCTATCCCACAATGGAGGAGCAATACCAAAAAAAAAAAAAAAAAAAAAATTGCAAAAATAAAGGCCTACATAACTAGTCATGATATTAACTGATGTTCTCAAAATTCCCAAGGGGCTGCTGCAGGATAACTTGGTTTATGTTTTAAAGTCAAATGAACAGTATGGAAGATTTGATTGGGTAACTCGATATTCCTGCTTGGCTTCTCAATTGTGGCAGGGATTAACAGGGAAAAATTTAAATAAAAGTGGTAATTGCTTTTGCAGACAAAAGCAGAATTTGAATAGAATCTATATTCAAGAATTCATTCATAAGCAGGCAATTTTTAATACTCATTCTGTATTTCATTCAAATTTGAAAGTGATATCTCTTTTGGATGGGAATAAATAGAAACATCAGAAGAAAGAAGAAAGATCAGAATTTTTTTCAACCATAAGATCATTAAACAGCTAGTGATGGATTATTGCATGTAGTTGATGACCAGAAATTTAGCTTAATAGATTATATGGCTTAAAGAGAATACAACAATTTATCAATCAAACTGGGATTTTTTGAGAGGACAAAGTGAGCAATATTAAAAATTATGTTGGAAAAACAGGCATAAAGTGGGATAATGGACTGTCTCCAGCAAATCATATGGTCATTCTATCAAAAGTTGTACAGATGACACCCACATCAATAAATGCTAAAATGATTGGTAAAAGTGGGAAGTTAAATGGTTGGATGGACAATTTGAGAAATTCACTGTTGGAGTAGAAACTTCAATCTTTTCTATGTCCTTTTGCTCTTGTTATCTTTGTTTAGAGGAGAGTGCATTTTGTTGTTGTTGTTGTTTATTTTGGGGTGTGTGTATGTGTTGAGAGAAAAGATTTAACTATTGAAATTTTATTATTTCTTTGTAAACTAGTCCCAGAAAAACGATCGAGCTTCTTTTGTGAGAACCACAGAATTTTGATTCCAGGATATAATGCAAGGGCTCATGTGTAAATTTTAGTACTATAAACCATGAAGACAGTTCTGTTCATTGATTAACAGCATGGTATTTGGAGATATGGTATTCAGGATTCCACTACCTTAAGAAAGTGATTTTACACAGCAGCCAAAGCAATCTTTTTCAAAAGGAAACAGTCTAATTATGTCACTCATCAGTTCATAACTTTTCTATAGTTTCCCATTTATTTTATAACCAACACACAAATCCCAGAAGGCTATTTCCTGGCCCCTGCCTGTTATGCCAGTACCAATTCCTATGTGGCTCTCCCACTTGCTGCTGCAATCATCCTGGCTTCATTTAAACCAGTAGTTCCCAAATTCAGCTGATGTTGCCCCCCACGGGGCATTTGGCGATGTCTAGAGACTTTTTTAGTTGTCATAACTTAGGATGCGAGGTGCTACTGGCATCTAGTGGCTAGAGGTCAGGGATGCTAAACATCTTACAATGCACAGAGCAGCCCACCACAACAAAGAATCATCTGAACCAAAATGTCAGTAATGCAGAGTTCAGAAACCCTAATTTACACCTTCTCACACCAGGCTTTCCCTCATCCCAGGCCTCGCATACACTGTTCTCTCTCCCTGAAATATTCAGGCTTTTTTTCCCTTCTCCTCCTTTACCCTTCCCTTTTCCTCTTTCCCCCTCTCTCTGATTAACTCCCACTCACCCCTTTGATCACCACCCTCTCGTAGTGTCTTTCCTGACTCTTCCCAGGTATTACATCGTTTCAAATAATTATGAAGGCACTTAACAATGTTAGCAGTAATTTTACATGTATTTGTGTTTGATCACCCGTCTCCCCCATCAACTCCGGGCAGGCAGATATCGTGTAGTTTGTATTCACCACAGTATCACCAGCAGCTAGCACAGAATGAACGAACACTTAATAGCCTCGTTTCTAAAAAGAGGCAACCATCTCATTAGATTCCGAAGATTAAGTAATACATATAAACTCTATAACACAGTGCCTGAATTACAGTAAGTCCAGAGAGACCAAGGCTCTCTAGTTTGCGGAGAGAAGAAAAAGGCTCAGTCTGTGTCATTACAGCATCTACCCGCCTTCCTCCAGGGCCTCCGTGTACTGAGGAACTCCCGCTCCTCCCAGGCAGCAACTAGCAATTGCTGCGCCTGCGCCTTTCTGCCTCCACAGCTAACCAGGCTGCCTGACGCACTTTCCTTCTTCCCATTGGCCCGCCACAGGGCCAGTCAGTCGGTCGACATTACGCATGCTCGATATCAGGGTCCCGGCAGGGTCCAACCAATACGCCTGCGCGAGCGGACATGCTCCGGAAGCAGTTCTTTGGCCCTATGACACGTAGCAACCGGGCCGGTTCAGGGTCTGAAACTGAGTTTTGAGGGTTATTTGGGTCTGCTGGAACTACTGCCACCGCCGCCGCGTTTGGTGAGTATTCTAAGCCCGCGGAGAACTAGTCGGCTTCTCCTCTCCCCTGTGCACCTGGGCTTGTTGCCTCTTGAGGGGCCGCGCCCTGTTCCTTTCGCACAGACCCTCGCTCCTTTTCAAGCCCTTGCTCTGCCGCGGCCCCTGTATTTCAGATGCGACCATCCAGGATTCTGCACTTTCTTGGCAGAGCGCGGGCCTGGAGGCAGTCGCCTTGTCAGCTGTAAAACTCTGTCCCGAAGTGAGGAATCATCTTCGTTATTGATATTTTAGACCCCTGTGGAACCACTCTTCCCATTACCTCTTCCCTAACCGAAGGCATATCAGCTCCTTGTGATAGAGTTGTCTTCCTGGGCTTCGACTTAAAGACGAGATACTTCCTTAGTCCTCCCCCGACCGCCCACCAGATACTGCTCCCTCAAATTAGAAGAAATATTTGCTGTCTTCTGAAGTATTTGCTTAAGCAAATTGCCAGTAACGAATTCAGTAATACCTTGGGCCATAAACAGCATTTGCCATTTCTCTTCTATTGCAGATCATTTGAAATGTCAGGCTTTGAAAACTTAAACACGGATTTCTACCAGACAAGTTACAGCATCGATGATCAATCACAGCAGTCCTATGATTATGGAGGAAGTGGAGGACCTTATAGCAAGTAACTTTTCAACTTTGGAAATTTACTTAGTCTACATTGCAGTGAAAGCGTGTATTTAGAATGTTTGGTTCTGTCTAAAACTGAGTGTGTGAATGTGTTCTTTATCAGGAATGTGGTTTTCTCATAATCTTCCTTCTTCTGGAGAGATTTGTGACACAGTTTTGAGTTTGAAGAGATTGCTGTATTTAGAGTTTGGTATCTGCTGCAAAATCTTCAGATGTGCCATGAATGAAAAGTTGCTTGTTGAAGAACTGCTTCCTACTAACAATATTTCTGCATCCTTTAAGATAAGGATGGGAGCTTCAGGGACCTAGAAGACGGGCTATTTGGTCCTTGGAACTAGTTAAAAATTAAAATCTTTTGACTGCTTGTTTGATAGTTAAATCAGTCCAACTTCCAGACTTTATCAACACTAATTGAAAGTGCTTAGCGAAACTGTTTAACGTTGTAAACTATTATGAATCATCAGATGATTTTCATATATTTTTATTACTTCTCATACTGAAATCTTATGGTCAGTACTACACAAGTTACCAGTTGCAGATTGAAGAGGGAAACTCAAAGCCTTTAGGCCCAGAACTGTTAAAAAAAACAACAATAAAAAACCTCTTATACTGCCTGGTGTTTGTGGCAAAAATACATTAGCTAAGGCTTTCTAACAATTTCTTATACCCTCGGTCTCGTAGGACCTTAGAGATAATCTTACCTGCATCCTGTCAAATGAAGAAGCAACAACAATAAAAAACCTCTTATACTGCCTGGTGTTTGTGGCAAAAATACATTAGCTAAGGCTTTCTAACAATTTCTTTTAGGATATACCCTCGGTCTCGTAGGACCTTAGAGATAATCTTACCTGCATCCTGTCAAATGAAGAAGTTTTCTATACCAGTGTTACTTAACGTTTTTTAGATGGCACTGGGCCCCTTTGAGAATCTTACAAAATCTGTGGGCCTATTTTCCATAAATACATGCACGTACTTGCTTAAACACCCACATAAATGTGCATATAACTTCAGACAATTTCATCTGATCATCCATGGATCCCGAATTAAAAACCTAATGAAGATAATCTGAGAATGAGGACAAAAGAAGGTCGTGTATCCAGTCAGCCTGAGAAACTTGCAGTACTAGAATGTTTGGATTAATAAGTCTAAATAAAAGTGCACAAGAATTTAAGAGCAAAAATCAAATTCAGCCCCACTGTATAATTTATCTTGGATAGCCCATATGTTTTACAACCCATAAACTCTTTGAATCTGCTTAATTTGATATATTCTAAGGCTTATTTTCTCCTTAAAATTAAACACACTGAACAATAGGAGTATGTAAAAATATCCTCTATCTGTGAATCACTTTGCTCCTTTCTGTTAAATTCCAAATTACATACCAATGAGGATTTATCTCTTGATCAGTTAATTGGGCAGAATTAGAACATTCATATTGAGGAATTTATTTACCTAAATGTGTATTTTTAGTACTTGCTCTGTGTATGGGATGGCAAATGACTGTAAGATTGGCCAGAATCTATGTAATGAATCCTTGCCTATAGCAGCAACAAGGCTTTTGAGAATATACCTCTGTATGCACGCCTGTTTTTAACCAAATGATATTAGTGTTTAGACTCAACAGAACTATTCCATTTAGATTTTAGCCTCCTAGGTTTATCTGTCTCTGCTTTTCTTTCCTATCCTGTCCATCTTTGCATCACTTAAAAGCATGACTTATCTTCTCATCCCACTTATGATCTTCTCATTTTAGTTCTCCACACAGCAGTTGTTTGGATATTCTGAACAACTTGTTGCTAGTTTAGCAATTGTTGCTAACTATTCTCATAATTCCATCTCAACCAAATCATGTCTTTAGTAAGCATTGTCCTAGTACTAGTGAAGAAGTTTTGTTCCAGGTAATTATATAACAATTACTGCCAGTTAACAAATGTGGGTTTATAGATGATGCCTGGGAAAACAAGAAGCCTAATATATTAGCAGTAATAAATTTGGGTTTCTGAGCTTTATAAAAAAATTGGGTTCTTCTATATGTACCTTCAAATAGATCTGCAACCTAATGACATTTTAAACATTCATCTCAGCTTACCAAATATTTTGATTGGTTTGCTAACTTTGTAACAAAGATTAGCTAATAACTTTTAGCTCTCTATCGATAAAAATCTAGGTTTAAATAGCATATTACTTGGATTTTCTTCAAGTTTGACTTGATTTATAAGTAGTCCTTTGTTCTGCATTTGCCCTATGAAGTCAGCTTTAACATTTTGCAGTTTCCTCTATGAGTACTTCACAAATATCATTCATACATTCATATAACCCCGCCACCCCCAATAAATAAATAAATAAAAGGCCTTTTGATCATAACCTTTTGAGTTATATGAATGTCATATTGGACAGGTCCTGCATTGTCTTCTAGATATGCCTATAAAATATATAGTAATACCAGTCACATTTTTTTTTTTTTTGTCTTTTTCGTGACCGGTAAGGGGATCGCAACCCTTGGTGTGGTGTCGCCCACACCGCGTTCAGCCAGTGAGCGCACCAGCCATTCCTATATAGGATCCGAACCCGCGGTGGGAGCGTTGCTGCGCTCCCAGCGCCGCACTCTCCCCAGTGCGCCACAGGCTCGGCCCCCAGTCACATATTTTTTTAAGAACTGTGTTGAAAGTGTCATTTTTTCTTCTTCGACTTAACTGATAATATTGTCATGGAATATCTGAGGATTTTCATGAACTTAAGTAGCCAACTCAGTATATTAAGAGGCTTTTTGTCTTTGTTGTTGGTACAGAGTACTTACGAGAGTGTTGATTTAGTATTTGCTACTTTTCCTGCTGTGAAAATGTTGCTTTAGTCTGCAAAGATCATGTCTGCCATAGCATGTTTTAGTTTAAGACCAGAAGTGAGTCAGAAATTTTCCTGGACAGGTCCTTCCAGAAAAGCAAAATAGTAAAATTCTATAGTGTTGTCTTTCTCACCTCACATTATGAAAATGGAATAATGGCGCCACCTTTGAAAAGGTCAGTTGGCTTGCAATATTTCTCCTCCTTGCATTTCTCCTCCTTGAATTACATCAGCGGTTCTCAAAATGTGAACTGCAGACCTTAGGGAGTCCTTGAGACCTTTCAGGGAGTCTCTAAGATCAAAAGTTATTTTCGTAACAGTACAAAGATAGCATATACCTTTTTAGGTGTATTGACATTTGCTTTATAAAATGTGCAGAAGCAGGGGTAGGTAAAACTGCTGGTACCAGAGTATGAATCAAGGCAGTAGCATCAAATTGTTCTAGAAGTCATTGTATTCTTCATTGCCACACACTTGTTGGAGGGCAGAGGGAGTCAGTTTCATTTAAGGATTCTCTCGATGAAGTAGTAAGAATTATCATTTTTATTAAATCCTGACCCTTGAGCATACACATTTCTTTAATATCTGTGTGACAAAATGGGAACCAGTTACAAAGCACTTCTCCATACTTCATACTCCATACTAGAGACAGATGACTGTGTAATTTGAGTTGCAAGCTAAACCAACTGATACTTCATGGAGACCATTTTTATTTGAAAGAACTGACAAACTATGGTTGTTCATACTTGAGTATTTGGCAGATATTTTCTCAAAAATGAATGAAGTGAGCCTCTCACTTCAAGGGAAACAACTGACAGTATGTGTTGCCAGTGAGCAAATTTGAGTTTTCAGTCAAAAATGAGGATTTTGGAAAACTTGTATCCATCACCATGAACTTGTCAGCTTCCCAGTAATTAACCATTTTTCTGATGTGATCAGTAGTGATTTTAACAAATGTGAATTTTTTATATTGTCATTGTTTGGAAGATCTGCCTAACCCATACCAATATTTTCTAAATGGCCAATGCATGATGTTGCTGAATCATACACTAGTAAAGGATCCATTTAAAGTGCAAGACAGATCTATATATTTTAATGTACAGAGTATAAAAAGTACATTGATACTGTCTCAAGTTCGATGTTGCAACTTGAATTTTAAAAATTGCCATTTGTTTTCAGTTTCAATGTAACATCAAAAAGAATATTCATGATAATATGAAAAGATTATTAAAATATTCTGTTTTCCAACTACTGTACATGTCTGCAACAGTAGATTTTCTTCAGGTACTTTAAGTAAAACAATATATCATAACTGATTGAAAGCAGAAGCAGATATAAGAATCTAGCTGTCCTCTGTTAAACTAGCCATTATGACATTTTCAGAAATATAATACAGTGCCCTTTTTCTCAGAAATCTTTTTTTGAAAATAGTTTTTTCATAAAATGTTTATGCTGAGATGTAATGGATTTATTGCTACTTCAAATGAATTAATAAATATTTTAAACATTTCTATTTTATTTTCTAATATGGTAAATATTGATCGCTATAACCCACATGAACAAAAATACTTTGGGATTTTTAATTAACTTTAAGAGTATAAAAGAGGTACTAAGACCAAAGAGTTTGAGAACTGCTAGTCTATACCATTCTTTTTTGTTTGCTATTGTATGCACATTCATTCTCTCTCTCTCTCTCTCTCTCTCTCTCTCTCTCTCTCTCGAGCTTTTCTAGCTGTTTCATAGACTCAAAGATGGACTTCTAATAAATCCTAACAGAGATCAACACAATATATATTGTACTAAAGTAGGATATGCTTTATTCTTATTTTAGTTCAACTACCTAACCCTGTGTCTTTGTGTATGGACGGGTGTGTAAATAAGTAGAAATCAACATATTTGCATACCAAAAAGACTGGGAAAATGCATATACAGAACAAAATATTACAGCTGTCTCTGTAAGGTAGGATTTTGAGGTGATTTTTATTACAATTGTTAAGAGTTGGCCACTGGAGTCAAACATCCTAGTTTTCCCAGCACCACCGTGGGCAAAGTATTCTAACCTAAATTTTAGTTTTCACATCTTAATAATGGGGAGGATGGTACCATCTACCTCATAGGGTTTTAGTGAGGATAATACAAGATAATTCACATTAAGCACTTATACCAGTGCTTTGACCCATAGTAACATTCAAAAAGATTAATATTTATTTTTGGAAGTTTTCAATAGGTAATATATACTTACATATTACATACAACTTATCTTAGAATTAATCAGTTTCAATAAATAATAAATGTTGTACAACATTTTTGAAGGTACAGGAGTTTATAACATGAAAATGAGGCCTTCTGCTTCCCCCTACTTCCAGGTCCCTTTACCTAGCAGCAACCATGGTTAGAAGCTTCTTCTGCATACTCTCAGAGCTATCCTAAGCATATACGAGAGTGTATGTGTGTTCATTTATTTTCTAAAAAGCACATTCATGATGATTGAATATAGCATACACTGTTTTGAACATTGCTTTTTCCCCCCACTGAATATTTCTTGATTATTAGTCTTAATTAGTCCACATAAAAGTGTCTTATTCTTTTTAACAGGTGCATGGTAAAATCTATTTTATAACCATATCACAATATATTTACTGATAGCTATTTATATTGTTTCATTTTCTATCTTTTGCTATTAAAATAATGTTGCAGTAAATTCTGTAGCCAGAAAAATAGTATTTTTTTAAAGCATGAATTGGGTTAGTGTGGTCTTGAGAATCACATTGATATCTACCTTCAAAGGGCTGTGTAGCTGACAATTGACTATTGCTTTGATTTTCTTTTAGTCATGATGTTCAATTAACTTAAAAATTAGATTTAAAATTTTTAAATGTCAATATTAATGGAAGTTATTAGGTTTTTATATTTTTGAAAAGGGAACTATAAAATTTTGAAAGGTAATTAGACTAAAGAATTTCTAAGGTTTTTCAGCTCTCATTGTTTAAAATGTCTTACTTTTAAAATAATTATTTTACTTCTGTATTTCTTAGTGTATGATTAAATTAGTCCTGTTGATAAATAAGTCACATATTTTCCAGAACATGGTGAAATGGCTTTTTAAAGATGTGGTTTTAATATCTTTCTGTTTCCTCTTGTCATTGTTACTAAAATAGTCATGGTAAGAGTTCTCCCCTTAAATGCAGGGGTTTTTATAGCACATATCAAATGAGACAACAGGTGTACAACTTTGAAAAATTAAAAGCACCATTCAAATGCAAGGTGTACTAATAAAGTTTTGTTATATTCCAAGAGCTTTCACAAAGAACAAACTTGATTTTTCCACTGTTGTTTGAAATTGATGGTTGTTCTTAAAGAGTTTTGCCCCATTTGCAAAAAATAACATACTAGGAACAGTAATGAAGAATAATTCAATGGATATCCAAATTACAATGGAAAATTACATAATATGGAGTACAAAGTCTGCTATCCTAAGCTTTCATTCATAGTTTAGGCATAAGTTTTATTTTACAGTATATCTTTATATTATATATACACAGTAAGGGAGAAAACTAGACAATATTTTAAAATTTTTATTTGTTGACCTCCTAATGTTTAAAGTTTAATAGTTTGTAAAATAATTAAGTGCTGCATAAGTGAATATTGGCATCAGGAAAATTCTCTATAAAAACACTATTCACAGTAACCAAGATAAGGAATCAACTAAGTGTCCATCAACAGATGAATGGATAAAGAAAATGTGTTATATTTACACAATGGAATAGAATTTAGGCATAAAAAAATTTAAATCCTGTTATTTGTAGCAACATGGATGGAACTGGAGGTCATTACATTAAGTGCGATGAGCCAGGTATAGAAAGACAAAACAGATGACTTTTTATTGTAGATAATCAACTTGATCTTAGTAATCATTTCATCCACCATTTGTGAAAACTGGTAAAGTGGGTATTCTAGGAATTGCATGACTAAGATTCTGTAGCTGTCAAAGGAAAACTTAGGAATTTAAGGGATACCAGTTGTCAGGGATTGAAATACTTCTAAGAAATTTAACTTCCTTTGATTTATAGACAGTATGCTGGCTATGACTACTCGCAGCAAGGCCGATTTGTCCCTCCAGACATGATGCAGTCACAGCAGCCGTACACTGGGCAGATTTTCCAGCCAACTCAGGCATATACTCCAGTTACATCTCAGCCATTATATGGAAACAGCTTTGAGGATGAGCCCCCTTTATTAGAAGGTAAGATTGATTGCAACACTTGGTAGTAGTCTGTAGTATACAGTTGGTCAGTGAAAATAAATATTAATTTGGAGATGGTTGGTATACAGTTGGTCAGTGAAAATAAATATTAATTTGGAGAAGTTGCCTTTCCTTTAAATGAAAGTAGTCTGTAGTATACAGTTGGTCAGTGAAAATAAATATTAATTTGGAGAAGTTGCCTTTCCTTTAAATGAATAATCTTGTAGAAAAAAGTTTTCTAAGTGACTTAGACTTACTTTTAACAAAGTGTATATGAAACCACCTTGGGCCAGAGGGGACCAGGTTTTCAATAAATTTTTATAAAGTGATAATAAAGTATGTCAATATGCAAGCATTGGCTTTTACTTCAGCTTATTGGTTAAATTCTATCAGTAGGAGAAATGAAAGGAAATATGACATTGGTTATTCTACATGGAAATAAATTGGTGGCAGAACTATTGACATCACTGAAGAATATAATGGTTTTCAAATTATATTCCAAAACCTATAAAGCATTAGTTCTGAACATTTTTTTTTTTTTTGAACCAGGCACCCTTTGAAAGTCTAATGAAAGCTATGAATACTTTTCTCAGAAAAAAAATGCACACATATGCATAGAGACAGCTTTGTATTCAATTTCATGGGGCCCACAGGTATTTCTGAAGCCCCAAGTTACTATTAACCCTATCCATATGTTCTTTGCTGTGCAGTGTTAGCTGAGAGATTTATGAGTGTCTGTTTCATCATATCCATACCTTTTTCCAGCACCAAACCAGAAATTACATATTTATGGAATAAGCACCACAATCAGTGGTATAGAGGACTCACTAAAATAATATTCTTTGATACTGCTAGGTCCTCTTTTGGTGCTATATATTTCATTTTGTCTCTTGTTTCAACATGGATTCTGGTAAATTAAAGGTACATCACAGATCCTAATTAACTTCTTTATTTTCTTTTCCTTTAGAGTTAGGTATCAATTTTGACCACATCTGGCAAAAAACACTAACAGTGTTACATCCGTTAAAAGTAGCAGATGGCAGCATTATGAATGAAACTGATTTGGCAGGACCAATGGTTTTTTGCCTTGCTTTTGGAGCCACATTGTTACTGGTAAGATTTTAGTTTCAGCTCTTAGTGTGAGACTAAAGAACAACCTTTAAGTGTTCCACCAAAAGTAGTTTTTGAAACTCTATTTATACCTCAAGTCTAATGTATTTTGAATAGTATTGAGTTGCTTGAATTTATACCTATTCGGCACTTCTCCATCAAGTATAGTATATTTAAAAACTCCTATCTTGTTTCAGGAAGTAGTCTGATTATTAGGAAAACAACAACAAAATAAACAAATAACACGTGTGATTTTAATCCCTCATTAGAATATTTTCTTTTCAGAGACCAACAAAATTTTTTACCCTATTGCTCTTTTATTTGTTAATGATGGCATTTTTTTGTTCTTTTAATATCTTCTTTTTATTTATTTATTTATTTTTTGGCAGCTGGCCAGCCGGTAAGGGAATCTGAACCCTTGACCTTGATATTATCAGTACCATGCTCTGACCAACTGTACCAACCTGCCAGCCTCTGTGTTTTTTAAATAAGCTCTAGACTGTGGTTATTGTTTTGTTCTGGTTGTGCTGATGATTATTTTCCTGTGTATTACTTTAACATTTAATGAATTGACACATTAAAGGATAACAGGTTTTTAGTCCCTATCTCCCACCTCCCCAAGAATGTTAAGGCATACTGAAAACAAAAAGAAAAGTTGTAAGATGATTATTAACATGTGTTTTATTTTATCTTAAGTCTCTGAATTATAAGAGATAAATAATGTAATGGATAGAGATAGGATTTTTAGTCAGAGGACCTGGGCTTGAACATAATGCTCCTCCTCTGCCCTTGACCAAGTCATTTAATCCTTCAGTTCCCTTTGATAAATAATCCTATGCTGGCTACCTAACAGGATTGTTGTGATGATAAAACAAGACAGGTTATGTGAGAACACTTTGAAAAATTAAAAGCAAGTATGGGGTTTTATTATTACTACATGAATGAATTCATCAATGAGTTCAGCTGAGCTTTTTCAAACTTGTGCACTCTTAATCAAATATTTACAAATAAATAGTGAGTCTAACAAAAATTCCATGGATTTTTCCATTTAACATAATCTGTAGAGGCATTCTCACGATTGAGTTTTGTGTGACAAAAATCTGACAAACCAGGAACTTTTTGAAGGCTTCTCTATAGACTGGTTTTACCAATAGTGTGAAATGAATACAATGTTTGTTCGCAAAGTTTGACTAAGATAGTTCCAATAAAGCTAATCTTTGCTGTCCTAAGACTTGTCAGTGATTGTCTTTTAGGAGACCAGAATTGTAAAGGTTTTTTTTTTTTT